GAGATCAAGGGAAAATATATTTGGTATCCCCGTAACTGAGTGTTTTCAGTTTGAGAGAAGAACTCAGCCTAAATATACAGAATTTGTGTTAAAGTGTGAATGAAACAAAATACAAGTGAATGTATGTTTGTGATGAGGAAACAACATTATAGCATAGATCAGAGAATAGGGTAGTATAGACCCTTTAAGTTTGGTTCACAAAAAAACACGTTGACTGACTTAATGCTTTAACTGCAGTAAATAGATGCCTGTTAAAGTCAGTCTGTTTTCTTCAGATTAGTTTGGGCAGCAGCTTGGGTCAAAGGTCAGTGTGATTTATGGATTTAAGGGAATGCTGCTGGTTTTACTTTGCACTTGTGAACTGTAAATGGAACCCATACCATAAAAGTGATTCCCATGGATAAAGTGTCTACAGTTACATACATGGGGGAATTTTAGTGTTATCACAGAAAAATACAAGAATAGTTTAGCAGCAGAACAAGAAAATCACAAAATATTTATGATATACATGGATTCAAATATTTAAGAAGTAAACTATATTACTTATCTGGTCAGGGGTCTGCCACTTGCTTGTCTCCATGGAGATTGCAGTGCCTGGAATATTCCACAGTATGGCATAGAACTTTTAGGGAGATGGAGGTAAAGTTGGTGCCCCAGGCCAAGTCACGGGTAAGATCTGTGTAGAGGCGACCTTCCTTGCAGTAATAATGCAAGTATTTTTGAGCAACAAAACAGAAAAAAAAAAAAAAGAAAAAAAAAAGCAAATTAGGAAAGTTTAAACTCATATTGTGGCATAACAGTAACATTTCCATAGAGATAAGCACTATAAGCAGCATCTCTCGCCCCAGAAGATTTAGATAGAGCAGGGGTCCCCGGCCGCAAGTCTGGGGCCTAAAAACGGGCTGCAAGCCATCTGGTATATTTACCATATCTATTCTGAAAATATAACACAAATGAATGGCCATTTTTCCAAACTATGGTTAAGAGTTATAAGCATTTTGTGCTATTGTTGTAGCCCTGCCCCCTCCATTGGTCTCTGAAAAGCTTATATCTTTATTACTGGTCCTTGCGAGAAAAAAGTTTAGGGACTACGGACCGTTAAAATGTTAAAAATATAAAAATATTCATGAATTGCCATCATCAAAAACCCAGTGAAAGAGCACTTTGAGCCTGTTTAGGCCTGGAGCAGCTGAGGAGTTTTTTAATGACTGTTTTACTAGCAGTGGGATGGAAGCTGGAGCTCATGTTTGTGTTTGAAGTAACTGAAAGTCCCAAACACACCGCTAATGTACAGTGGGGACTTTATTCTGGCCTGCTCCTATACATTCTGCCTGACTGTAATGTAAGAATGTGGGCATGACTGGCGCCATTCTTTTACCTCTAGATATCAGCAGAAGCCTGTAATACTATCACCGTGCCTCTGTATCTACAAGTAGCTGTTCATAGTGACATATTGTTGCTGCCAGTGCCTTTGAACAGTCTCCATATTGTGTGTGGGCTGCAGGGAGCGAAAGCTGGAGATTAGAGGAACAAACCAGCAGATGACAGAGGAAGTGTTGATACAAGAGATGATGGACTAGCATACAGTAGACTAAACAAGGACTGAGCCTGCATTCCTCTATCTGAATTATGGTTATAAAGTTTATGCAATGAGTTGAATGAAGAGGTGTAAAGTATATTCAAAGAAGTAATTATAGGCAAAAACTTTTTTTTTTTACACTTCCATCCCAAAAAGGAATTATGATCTGTTCATAACTGCATACAATGTTGGTAAGTAACAGTATACATACACCGAAAATGTGTTGGTGTTCAGTATACTACTTTTGAGAAAACCGTGTTCTGGTACTTCTGTTACTTTGTTTCATTCGGTGGTATTCAGAATAGAGGTAAAATGCTGCTAAAATCAAAGAAATACACGATTACTTACGATATACGATTACATACGAATACACGATTACATACTCGATCGTGAAGTTCTGGCTTTAGACTGCACATTTTTAGTAATCTATGGTATCTTGGCATAATCAAATTATCTGTTCCTTTACTGACACCTTGTGGTTGAAGAGTAAACACAAAATATCCGTTTGGCGTATTATTGGTCCTCTGAAATGGTATTAATTATGTTCAGAACTTACAAAAGTTCAGAACTCAAAATCACAGAAACATCAAGATTTGTTTGCCTACAATTGCAGAAATAATAATATCAAAAACATACCCAGATTGTGTTTTATTTCATTCACATGCAAACCCTGTGTTTTAGGTTGAGTTCTTCTCTCAATCAGAAAACACTTCACCTTGTGATGTCAGGAAGTGCAACACTGTGTATATAAACTCTACTGTATACACTTTCACTAGAATCATTTCTGTCCTGTAATTGCCCATCTCTACAGAACAAAACGTAAAAGGTAACCGTTAACTTGAAAAATATCGCTTCATTACATTACAAGGTGGTACAGAGTATTTTGAGTTTTAAAGATGTAGAGACACTAATATTAAAGTATTACTCAAACGTGTGAATGAAACAAAATACAGCTCTGACTATGTTTTGAGGAAGTAACAGCATTACAACATGTCTTAAAGCTCGCACAAGTTTGCATACTATAGGACCTTTAAACTACTTCACAAGAAATAATAAACTAAAAAGAGTGAAAGAGTTCATCCACAAACCCTTTTTATTGAGTTTTTTCCAATTAAAGTCCTAAGCAGGTTTTTATGACGGTGACCTGTTGCCATATGTGTAGACAGGTCTGGTCTGGTGATCTGCTTTGCTCATTAGACTGGCCCCCCGCTGCACTCCCAATCATGCCCGATTACCAGCATGTGTCCGACTGTTCTGGTCATGGAGAAAGTCTGAGCTGGGCCTACACCACACTTTCCTCCCCTCCAGTGTCAATATTATCCTTCCTTTTTGCTAATAATTCCATACAACACAAAGACTGACCACCACAGTTCTCTTTTTGACTGGAATTACGATTGACACAAGGTTGCAATGTACTGTTTCTAGCATATTTAGACTGAGTTCTTCTCTGAGTTCTTCTCTCTAACAAAAACACACTGCAGAAAATTGTTGTAGTTGATGTTAGCAGTAGATAGCAGTAGTAGAAGTAGTAGCAGTAATAGAAAAAGTAGTATCAGCAGCAGCAGCAGCAGTAGTAGTAGTAGTGGTAGTAGTAAACATTTAGGCTACTGTAGAATTAAAAGCAACTCGAACATTAGTTACTCTTTGGTAGTAAATACAACAGCAGCAGCAGAAGTCCACTCCTCGCTGCAGTACACATAATAACTGCATGGTGTGAAGCAGTAGTGGCGTAATCATTGTATCCATGCTTCTTAGTAGCTTACAGTAGTAGTATTATCAGCATGTATCTATGTAGGCCATGTTTTTTTATTTCTCCCCTCCAGTCTGAACCCAGGTAGCCGCTCTGCATTCCACAACATGACCTCTCAAGTGCAGGGTCACTTCAGAGGAGAGAAAAAAATGTAAATACTATTTCAGCTGTTTCTATGGCCACCCTAAGCTACCCTTTTCCAGTCTGGGGTCAGTGCAACCTGGAGGTATGTCTGCAGTTATTCAGTATATAGGTGCAGTATGGTTTTACTTCATATAGACGCATATTTTACTGATGATTAACTGAAGAATCGCTAAAATAAAAATAAAAACATGAAATTATAGGTTCTTATGAAAGTTTAGAGGTCCTTTATTGCACAACATAGGTTCTTGTGAGCTTTAAGTCATGTTATAATATTGTTTTCTCCTCAAACATTCACACATTAGTTTATTATTAGTCCGTTTACATCTCCAAAGCTTAAAATGCTCTGATGCCCCTTGTGATGTCATGAAGTGGTTTCGAATTATCCGTTACCTACCTTTAGTTCAGTAGAGTTTGGAGCTGAAAGCCTCCAAATTATTCTTAAGAACTGCACAGTGGAGAACTTCCTGTATTACCACATGGCATCTCAAGGTGGATGGTATGTTTTTGATGAACTTATTTTGAACTTATTTATAACATAAATCAGAAAATAACATAATATAGGCAGATTAATTTGAGTTTGCAGTTTTTGAACAGTGCTAATAGTCATTGGTTCTGCCACTATTATAATTTATAAACAAATATAATATTAATATGAGTATTAGTGGCTGGTTTTTACAAGTAAAAAGCAAATAAGAGTTTTAAATCGTTCAAAAGTTCAGATCCTTCTCATGTAAAGTCAGTAAAGCGGGCTGTGGTTTGTAGTAAGCTCACGTGTGCTCTGTGTTCTCTGAGGGAACACTGTCTATCCGAGCAGCAGGCCTCATCTCCCACATGATATACAGCCTCTCGTCTTTTTCTTGGCAGTGGGTTTGAGGGGGGACTTTTCATGGATTTGGTCTTTGGCCCTGTCAGCAAGATCAAAGCCCTGCGGGATCAGGGGCCATCTTTCTCTTTTTTGTTCATTTTTTCATCTTTCTTTTGCTGCATATTGTGAAAGTGTTGTGTATAGAACTTCACTTTTAGTATGTAGTAAGTAGCGTGTTTAAGATGTCTGTGTAATCCCTCAGTCGTCCACCTGTGATCAATAGCAAAAGAAAAAAATAAGTCTAACTATTGGATGAGTGGTGAAACATTTTACTTTGCACCCTACATGGGCGACTGAGGGATTACACCGACCTTTACAAAAAATGTACACTGACTATATACATTACTCATACATTTTACCTTTGATATTTCCAATGATTTGTCTGCTCTCCACTCACATTCTTAGTAATGCAATGATGAAGCTCAACCACTGGGGAGAGCTAAAGTCATACTTTGCAAGTTGTAATCTTACGCTAACCAAAAAAACATGTATTTTTGTGTCAGATTATTAGCTTTCATTTCAAACCCAAGATTATTCAAACCAGCATTTATATTACATGTTTTCTCAATAAAAAATACAGAGAATTTCAGAGAAGTCATTGACCAGACTCCTTCAACACACTTTACACACACTTCAAACATGATTCACAAAATAATTTATCTTTATGCCACTTCTGCTTCTTCTTCTTCAACGTTGTGACTTGGTTTGGCTTTGAGTCCTGACCCTTGATCTTTGTAGTTAATCAGCGCCAGAAGAATTAAAAAGAGGGAAGAGATGAGGAAAGCTGCTCCCGCCATCAAAAACCCTGCGCCGTAGTCTCCCATGTGGTCAATAAAGAACCCTGAAAAGAAACAGATCAGACTCAGAACCAGTTCAGCAAAATTGACTCTTGTGAGCTTTAAGTCATGTTACAGTGTTATTACTAGGGGTGTAACGATATCCAAGTCTCACAATATGATATTGTCATGGTATGAATCTCACGCTATGATATTTATTTCGACACTGTACAGCTCACAATATGATGGGGAGGCTCACGATTTTATGATATTACACATAATAACAAGACTGACATTATAAAATGCTTTGACCAGTCATTTAGTACAACATTTATTGTCATACTCAAGGGACGTAACAATATCCAAATCTCACAGTACAATATTATCACGATATGCATCTCACGGCACGATATTTATTGCGATGTTTTGAAGAGGCTAATAATTAAAGATGAGACATTTTTTTGCTTTTAAAATATCTTGACAAGATTTTGGTGTGAATTATTAGTCATACTCCCAATAATTCCAGTAAAAAACATATTTCTTCATGTTGTCTGCACTGAAATTAATCTTGGGATATGTAGTTCCCTATGTTTATAAACTGTTGCTAATATAAAACCATGCATTTAAGCAAAGAAACACGTGACTCGATATGTTGTGGCAGCCCACGATATTATTGTGAGACTTTTGACGATATGATATGATGATATTATGGTTATTGTTACATTCCTAGTTATTACCTCATCAAAAACATACCTGGAGTTTTTGTTTTATTAACCCTGCATTATTAGTCTGTCTACATCTCTAAAGCTCAAAATGCTCTGTTCCACCTTCTGATGCCATGAAAATGTAGTTTTCAAGTTAACAACTGCCTTTTACCTTTTGTACAGTACAGACTGGCAACTCCAGGACTGAAATGATCCAGATGTTTCTAGTGAAGGTGTAAGGAGTTTAAAAACACACTGGAGCATTACCGCATGACATCACAAGGTGGAACAAAGTAGAGTGTTTTCCATTTGAGAGGAGAAAGCAGCCTAAATATGCAGAATTTGTGTGTTTTTTTGTGGAAACAGCATTATGAAATAGATTAGAAAATAGTGTAACATGGGCCCTTTAATACATGTTCCAGCAATCCAGCTCCAATTAGTTATTTTAGATTCATTCAGTCTGAGAGTAAAAACTGCCGAAGACAAGATTGTGCAGTGATTAATTTTACCTAAAGGCTGTAAAGATGAAGCCTGCCTCCCTGGAAGAAAACATAATTAGCACGCTTTGATGGATCGTCTACATCAGTCAAGTCTCTGGTCTTCAAAGTGTGGACGGGCTCAAAGCACTGGAGACTACAGTACATAAGTTTGTGCGTTAGATCGACTGTGTTCAGTTAAAAATAGTCCACTGCAAAGAAGTGCATCTCTACATAATTGCACTTGACTTTTTCGAGGTCATTTTGAGCCCTTAGCTTTTCAGTTTATTAATGTCTAATATTTATAGACACTTGAACACAGATGAAAGTAAATATGGTAAATATTTACTGTATCATGACCCACATAGTCTCTCCTAGTTATATATTTCTGAATAATATTTGAAGGTCGTACTGTATATGAGTCAAAATCGACTCTTGTGAGCTTATTGTTATTGCATCAGAAACACCTTTCAAGCTAACAACTACCTTTTACCTGAGTTTAAAAACACAGTGGAGCATTTCCTCTATTACCACATGACATCAGAAGGTGAAGCGGAGTGTTTTGTGTTTGAGAGAAGAACTAAATGTGCAGGATTTGTTTGTTAAACATGTGTGAATGGAACAAAACACAACACCAGATATGTTTTTGATAAGGAAACAGCATTATAACATAGATCAGAAAATAATATGAATAATACAAACCTTTTAAAATGTATTTGCAATTGTATTTTTTGACTTTGAAATGAATTAACACATTATGGATAACCCGATAACCCAACAATAAAAACTACAGTGACTACATCACCTTATCAATGCCTGATATAAACCGATTTAGGAAACTAAGTAAGCAGGGTTGGGCCTAATTAGTACTTGGATGGGAGAATACATGTGGTATTTGTGTCTTTAGGCAAGACACTTCACCCGCCTTCCCTAGTTTTATATGCGGCTTGTTAGTGATTGATAAGTAGTGATCAATGCACTATTTCCATCCTATTTTCAGATTTCCTGGAGGACTCCCAAACCTGGCTGATTTGTGGGTGTTTTTTGGCAGAGGGAGCGATGCCATGCTGCAAAAGTCACACAGCAGCTGACATACTTCTGTGGACCAGAGCGGTGTGTGGAAATGGGTCATAACCTCAGTAATAGGGGAGGCCTGTATTGAGTGCTTTGTTTTGTGGCTTGGTTCACAGCATAAAAGAAAATACTGTTTCTTATCACAGACTTTTGATACACTGCTATTTTACACGGGGATTAGCATGCTTGTAGAGGCTTAAACTTCTGCTTTGGGTAACATTTTTATGATGTAGTACAAAAGTAATCATCCATTTTATGCTGTTTTCTGATTTATGTTATAATTAGTTAGTTTCCTCATCACAAACATACCTGGAGTTGTGTTTTATTACTGTTCAGGTTACTCAAATGTGTGAATGAAAAAAAACATATCTCTAGATATGTTTTGACGAGGTGACAACATTTTAACATGCCTTAAAGCTCACAAGAGTCAATTTTGTGTAATGTAGGACCTTTAGAAAATCCTGTTTGATAAGGTTCCTGTCAAACTCACATAATTTGTAGCTTTCCTATGACTAAAATGCAAACTTGGTCTTATTTTAAGTAGGAACAAAAGTTGTATGAGGGAAAGGAAGTTGGCATAAACCATATTATACCAAAACAAAATGCATACCACTGCATCATTGGGTACAGATGGGACAAGCAGGTGGTCTGCTTTACCAATTACATTTGCTTCTTTTTCTATATTATCTTCTGTCATTTTGATTTCTGCATCATTCACTGCGCATTTCCCTACACAGTATTGTTTTGCTGGTAGAAACGTAAAAATTACGCATCATTCCAAAGCATCAGCCCATGAAATTAATATAGTCAAACTGCATCACGATATAAATTGCTTGCTGAATACATTACGTAGAACCCAATGTAACAGAATGACAAAATCCAGGATTAAGACAGCTGGATGTCAAGAAGGTGCAGAGTCTCATTGTAAGGTAAAAAGACTCACTTGGCTATGGTGATGATGCAGCAAACCTAATCCCATCAGAGAACTAGATTACAACACATTTGACATTGTACCCTTGACAAAATTGTATTGGTTTAACGCCTGAGGAGATCACATGGAATTTTACAGCACATACATACAGTACATACTGTATATACATGGTCAGCTTTAAAGGTTCTCTATTGCAAAGACTTGACTCTTGTGAGATTTAAGACAGTTATAATGTCAGTACCTCATCAAAAACATACCTGGACTTGTGTTTTGTTAAATTCACACATTCACAAAAGTCCAGAGGCGTGTTTTGGTTCAGTCTGCCGCTGGTAGAGATTGGCCATTCCAGAGCTGAAATCATCTAAATAGTGAAGGTGTGTGGAGTTTAAAAACACAGTGGAGCACTTCCTATATTACCATTAGTTGCAATAGAGTGCTATTCATTTGCGAGAAGAACTCAGCCTAAATATGCCAGGTCTGTGTGTTAAACATGAATGAAACAAAACACAACTCGAGGACTGACGAGGAAACGACATTATAACATAAATCAGAAAATAGCGTAATAGAGGACCTTTAAGTCAAAATGTGTTCCTCTCACCAGCTATGGGTGGTCCTAGCAGGCCTCCACAGCTGCGAATGAGCATGGCGAAGCCCAGAGCGCTGCCCAGCCGATGCACTCCAACCACTTCTGCCAGTACAGTGATGTGTACGGTCAACGTCGCTCCATACACCAAGCCAAAAGCAGCGCTGAAGATGACCAGTTCACTGAAAGTTGAGGCCAAAGGGCACAAGAGGACGACTACACCGAGGACAATGACTGTAGCTATCAACTGGTACAACTGTATGGGAGAGAGGAGGTTACTTTGACCGAGATAAGGCAAGTTCAATTAAAGTTTAAATCTCAGCAGAATGTGGCTCTTACATAATCATGTAAAAATGGGCGAGGTAAAAACCCTGTGCACACCAGCTGATTATATTAAAAGTTCTTTATTACATGAGGTACCTTATTAAGTGAGGGCCATATTCTGCTGAGATTTGAACTTAATCCTGGAAGAGCACCTGTACTGTGACTTTAAAGACATATTTTATGACCCAGTGAAGCGCTCTACCTCTCCTCTTAATCTCTCATCTTAAATTGGTTAGTTTATCGTAAAAGGCTGTTGCTGGCTCGTGTGGCCTGCAAAGCAAAAGGCAAAATTCTGGTGCCATCTAGTGGTTCAGGAGTAAATATTTTCACATTTCACCCTTTCAGTTTTCAACCATTGCCTTTCATTGAAATAATTAAATAATAAGACAAAAATCAATCATTCTGGCACTGAAGTAGGCCTAACACTTGGAATTTGTACATGTATTCGCTCAGGATGTCAGCTGTCAGCAAAATTAAGCCCTTGTAATTCAGTTTATAATACTAGATATTGTGGCGTTCCTGGAACTCAGTGTTGAACCTCACGACTAGAATGTCAAATCCAAATTAAGATTGTTTGTATAAGCAACTATACATTTGATTTTTACCGTTTTTATGATCCTCATGTTTGCCACCCAGCCAAAACCCACTCTTCCGATCAGGTCCAGAGCAGAGGAGATGGACATGAGTGCAGCCGACTGATACTCTTCCACGCCTCTACTGCGGGCGTATGGCACAAGGAACAAAGCGGGAGCAAATAAGCCCATAGCGGCAAAGAGTCCAAACATAGCGTATAGCATGAATTTTGCATTAGCAATAAGAGTAAAGTCTAGGTAATGAAGAATTTTGGATTTTAGTGTATTTTTGTCCTCTTTATGCAAGCTTTGTGACTGGTTTCGTAGCATTTTTTCTTCTTCATTAGCTGTGACCTCTTTTGGGTGACTGTATTGTTGGCTGTTTTCCAAAGGCCGGAGAAGAGCCCCACAAATACACAGGTTGAGCTGCAGAGCGCCCACAATTAACATAGCACCCCTCCAAGTGTAGCTATCAATCAGCCACTGGGTCAAGGGCGAGATGACAAACATGAGAACGCATTCTCCGGAGCTGGACAGAGCATTGGCCATAGGGCGCTTACGGTCAAAGTACAGGCCCACCATGGTCACTGTGGGGGTCCAAGCTAAAGAGTAACCCAAACCTAGAAGAAAGAAAACAAATTATCAGTAAGTGCATCACAACTCTGACCACAGTTACTTAATAAAGGTGAACTGTGTAACTTTAGTGGTGGAGGGTCTGTCTCCTGTTTGTTGTCATACAGATGAAATTAGAATATTCCACAGTATGCCTTTTTTTGTTCATTTTTTGTTCATCACTAGTCAAAGTTACAGGTGAGGTTTCTGAAAAGGCGAGCCCACTAACAGTAAGAACACATGTGCTGGAAGCATCCATCCTCTGCCTAGTCTTAAAGAGACAGTGTGGAATTTTGGACACAGGACCTCATTTCCTAGTTATCCAGAGTGTTGGAGACACTTTTTAAAATATTCCATCCAGTCCTTGTATTTGCAGAGGTCGCTGGTGCTAGGCAAGCCCATGTCAATGGCCATAGTTAGCCTGCCGCTAAAAACAGTCTTACCCACTCCACAAAGCACTCGAAGCAAATATATTATTACGGCAGACTTTCAATATAAGTGTCTGTGTTGATAGAATGATGGTTGAAATAAAACTAACCTCGCATCGTAGCATGTTGAAGGACTATTTTCTCAGCAGCAGCGGAATTTTACTTTGCCAGTACGATAGGTGCTAGATGATATCAGTCCGCCGCTGTCAAGCTTTCTATCAGGAAATACAACTCGCTGCTGCTGCTCAGACATAAATCTGTCAGATGCAAGGTTGGTTTTGCTTCTAAAATTATTCTATCAACACATTCACATCGATAGTCTAGCATTAAAATTGTTTGCTTTTGTTTTTAGTGGCAGGCTAACTATGGCCATTGACATGCACTAGCCTAGCACCAACAACCTCTGCAAATACAAGGACTGGATGGAATATTTTAAAAAGTGTCTCCACACATCTCCAACACTCTGGTGAACTAGGAAATGAGGTCCTATGTCCAAAAGTGTGGACTGTACCTTTAACAAGGACACCGCCAGTTCTATCACTGTTGACATCTCTATGTGGTTAGCTTTATCTATGACTGTTACAGAATTTGTTCTTCTTTCTTCATCAGTTTCTCCCAGAGACTCGATAAAGACTGAAAAAACATTTGTAATAGCCTTCTTTGTTCTTTATTGCTAAATCTAATCTAACAATATAACTACATACCATTGAGGAAGCCCGTAGTCAAGTAGAGTTCCAAAAGGTTTCTGGCAAATGACCCAGATATCACTCCAATGCTGCAGAGGAGTCCGCCGATCATGACGATGGAGCGATGGCCAAAACGAGCACTCAACGCAGAGGATAACGGACCTTTAACACAGATACATACCACATTCTCTAAGGCAATATGATATCATGAAGATATATATAATGCTTAGAAAGAGAAACAGGAGAGTGAACATATATATTGATTTGTACTGTTGAATAAGTCAAGAGAATAACAGAAGTTATCCATACAACAATAGGAGAATATACAATGAACAAAAGCTCTCAAGGCAAGAAGTTCTAGGCAAGATGAGCATCAAATATACTGTACGTAGTGTCAGAATGTGTTATTGTTATAGTCATAGACAGTATATATACATGGACATAGCAAACCCTTTAGCCACTGTGTTCCAAATAAGAAGTGTTCACAGGGGCACTTTTGGTTCCAATGACTCTGGCTCCAATTGACTTTACATTGAAAAATTGTTGTCCCTCTTTCTGTAACTGCAGCCGTGAGCCTCATCATTTTGGTCTTAAAATGTCCTTATTAACCTGCTTTATATGATCCTGGTGTATTTATTTCACAATTTTGTCCATAAATAAATTCCTATTCCGAATATTGAGCTGGCTCCAAATTTGTTCCTATAGCTGCTAGCCGAATGACCTTCATCTGACTGGAGCCGACCGTTATGGGTGACTTCACACTCCCTTAGTCCACTTCTTTATACATTCAGTGGTTTTACTCTATGCAAATGGTAAAACATTAGCTGGTTCTACTCCAACAAACACTGGTGTTCTCACCAGAAACATGAATTGTAGCAAGGGTGATGGACGTGATCCAGGATACTGTGGTGGCTGTGGTATCAAAGTACCGGTGGATCTCCACATAGAACACGCCAAAAGACTTGATCACCCCAAAAGTGAGGCCACACATTGTGAAGGCAGAAAGCAGGATGATCCAGGCATAGCCCCCATCAAGATCCCCCTGTACTGTTGTCTCTGCAGCAGGGCCTGGAGCCGTCTCCCCCCTCTCTCCCTGCTTCTTCAATGAGGAGCCCATGTTTGCGTTTCTATAAGTGGCAAGCAGAGATAGATTTAGATTAATTTAAAAAACACAAAAAAAACTCTATTTGTAATTTGTCTGAGGTCATAGGTACAGGACAGATAGGTGGAAATAGTTTGGCCTGACTTGAAAATGGAAAGAAATAATATATTTTTCCTTGATTGTGTAATGCCTTAATGGTCCTATAATGTGCAAGTTTGACTCTTTAAGAGTTTTAAGTCATGTTAGAATGTTGATGCCTCCTTAAAAACATACGCTGAGTTGTGTTTTGTTTCATTCAGACATGTTTGGGCAATCCTTTATTATTATTCTACTTTATTCTTTATCCTTTATTCTATTATTCAACCACTGACATCATTTTAAACCCTGATTTTAGCACGTTTTACTTTACACCCACTGACTCTCTGTGAGCAGTTTGCAGACCACTTCATGGGAAAAATAAACACTATCAGTTGTGATGTTTTATCTTGTCTAGGCTCTGTTTGTAAAACATCTGAGTATTTGTCTGGTCCAGAGGAAACACTGGACAGTTTTGTCCTGGTCAGTGCTGAGCTGCTTAACAAAGTTTTCTCCTCAGTGAGGCCCACCACATGTCTTTCAGATCCAATTCCCCCTCCATTTTTAAGTCATTTTATGGATCTTTTAGGGATGAGCTTTTAATCATGATGAATTGCTCTCTTCAGACAGGGGTCTTTCCACTGCCTTCAGTGTGGCAGTGGTGAGGCCCCTGCTAAAGAAGAGCAATTTAGATGATTTTAACAACTACCGACCAGTGTCTCACTCACATCCCCTCACATACAGAACATTTATGGTGAATGCAGACACATACCCCTCCAAGGTCTATAAAATCTCATGTGGTGTGCCCCAGGGCTCAATTTTAGGCCCTGGGCTTTTTAACTTGTACATGCTCCCTCTTGGTGGTGTCATCAGGAAACATGGAATCAACTTCCACAGCTCTGCAGATGATACGCAGCTTTACATCTCCATGTCTCCTGATGACACCAGGCCAATGGATGCTCTTTCTTAAATGTACTCGAGATACCAAATCCTGGATGGCAGGAAACTTTCTTCAGCTTAACCAGAACAAAAAAAAAAAAAAAAGAGAGAGAACCTTTTACCCAAACTACAAGCACAGTCTTATGTATAGAACTGTGAAGCAGTTGAAAACTAACTCGCTCATCTGCATTACATTGCTTTAAACAAGTTAAATAATGAGTGCATATACATGCACATCAGTATCCCGGTTATGATCGGGTTTTTTGAGTATCCCGGTTTCTTCATGGTGCATGTATACGCAGTACCCTGGTTTCAGTAACCCGGTTATGGCAGTATCCCGGTTATTAGAAACCGGGTTACTGTAGCTGGTTTATTCCGATAGTAACCGAGATACTGTGGCATGTATACGCAGTATCCCGGTTACTGTAACGTAAAATTGAGTGTGCATGCATCCAAAAGACACTTTACAGTCTTTTCCCCACAACAGTAGCGACATAAATATAGTGACCAACATAAATAAAGTGACCACACGAGTAAACTGACTGTAAAATAAAGAGCTGCGCTAAACCTGCACACGTACAGTCTGCACTCGTATGACCTGCACTCTGTGATCGCTGACAAGCTAAAACATGAACTATCTCCTATAGCACGGGTGTCAAACATAAGGCCCGGGGGCCAGATCCAGCCCTCCAAGACCTTTAATCTGGCCCTCGGCTGATTTTCTACTAAAATATTTTAATTATATTTTCTATTAAAATCTTGTTAATTTTCTGTGGTGTTTATCACAGCAGCGTCTCCAGCGTCTCTGTACGTGGCCCCTCCCACCAGAGCAGCACAAATGAAGACTTGTCTCTTTCCAAACGCTCTTAAAGGACGATCGTTTTGACTGTTGACCGTGACACCCTCATCAGAAAAATGTCCAACATGAGAAAAGTGGAGCCGAGTGCAGGATTTTCCAAGAAAAATTTACTTATTCCTATTTACATACAAGTTCATGTTAAAACATCGTGTTGAAATTGTATTTTTCTTAAAGTTTCAGGTTGTTCATAATATTATAATATTTTGTAAAAGAAAGAATTCATCAGTTAAAAAAGATTTCTGTAATAGATTTGTGTTTCTCTGCACAAACATTTGAACTTATTGTTATTTTTGGGGTTTATATGTCATGAGTTTTCTGATCCGGCCCCTTTGGGATCAAAGTAGGTTGGATACGGCCCCCGGACCAAAATGAGTTTGACACCACTGTCCTATAGGATATATGCACAGAACAGACTCATCACCATCACCATTACCGCCTCTTCTGTCACAAAAAGAGCACACATAATCCACAGAGTCGTGTCTTTTAGGCCAAAAGGAGCTGAACCGCATCAGCGAAACATGGAGCGAGCTGATTTGATCACCGCTAACAGTTTATGCTAATTAGCCAAGCGGTCTTAAGTTTCGTTTCTGTAAAATGTAAACAAATGTGATCAGAGCTGAATTATATTATCAAACGGGCTGATGTGGATCTATAGTGGTTATGGTTTAGATAAAGTTGAGTTTATTTATGCAGAAGATTTTAATGAAGAATCTGTTGAGTTTGATCTGCACAGTGGATTGTGGGATATCTCGTAGCTCCTTACTGCTGGTTAAACCTCCCGAGCTTCTTATGCTACAGGAGCTCATGGTTTGTATTTTTCCTGGTTTATTAAATTGATTTAAGTTAATTTTTGCACTTGCGCATTTGTAAGATTATGTCAAGAAACCGGGATACTCCATTTGATCATGTATACACGAATATGAGTATTCGGTTTCTCTGTGCGCATGTATACGCAGCAACCCGAATACTGACATATGGGATATGGCAAATAACCGGGAAACTGATGTGCATGTATATGCACTCAATGATTAGATTAACAAGTTATACTTACAGTTGATGAACCTCCTTCCCTTTTACCATCAGTCAATCTGAAAATGATCTGGAACCTACAGTATGCATTTAACTATATGCAATGATATAGAATTGTTGTCAAGCATAAACCATACCCTCAAACTTCAGATGATGTGATTGGCTGTTAAACAATATTGTGGCGACCTTCAAACTGTCGCAATGCTTTATAGGGTTGTTTTTATTTGGGGCTAGTTATTGACAGGCAGTCATTTTCGGGGGGGGGGGCGTTCAGACCATGAGTTAGGCAGAAGTGTTTGAAACTTAACCCTGCACTGTTGCTATTTTGCCGGTTCTAATAAAGCTGAAATACGAGCCAACCTGTTCTCACAATTTTCATTTCGTAACTGCCGTTACAATATTAATAAAAATAATTGAACGCTGTTAGGAAGGTATCAAAAATCCACAAATAAATGCAGGGATTGTCACAAATATGTACGGTGGTTTGGTTTGCAAATAAATGCTGCACTGACATTTGTGAATCACGTAACATTTTGAATGAATGAATTACATTTGTGAATGTCTTGATATTTCCTTATGGACCAAGCAATGTATTTGTGAACGGCGTGATATTTATTTGATAATAAAGACACTAAGGCTGCGTTCAGACTGCAGCCTGAAGTGACCCAAATCCGATTTTTTGGCTTCTATGTGACCTGTATCCGATCTTTTAATGACAGTCTGAACGGCACAGATCAGATTTTTTCAAATGCGACCCAGGCCACTTGGATATGTGGTCCTGAAACCGATACATATCCGATCTTTTGACATGCGACTTCAGTCTGAATGGCCAAAGCGCATCCATCCGACCTTCACGTCATCAACAAGCGACAAACGTCACTATTCTGCGCTGAAGCAAGCGGAAACCGGAACTGTAAAATCGCCAGGTGCTTAATGCTCGCGTCATATTTGGACAACTTCCGTAAACACAGAGCACGCTCGCTGAGGTTGACGCATGGGGTTGACGTCACCGTGTCCTCCAGTACGCATGCGGGACACTTTCGGGCTGTTTACCGTTCACACTGGAGTCACAGACAAGTTGCATTTAATTGGAAATGTGAACGACCTCGCAAAAACATCGGATTTCACAAAAAAATCGGAATTGAGCATTAAGCTCTGCAGTCTGAACGTAGCCTAACTTATCTCCATACAACTCCAGGTATGTTTTTGATGAGGAAACATTATAACATAGACCATTGTCATTGTTTATTGCTTTTGTTCAAAGTCCTAAGAAGCAGTTGTTGGGATATAAGCAACATAAGCAAATGCTGAATCATTTTCATTTTGAATAGAGTCAAGATTTTCATGATTGAAACCCTGTATAACCCTGATTGAAATTCTGAAAAGTGGAGCATGTAGAAACTTGCGCTAGTTGTTTTTCATACAGGAGAGAATGTGGTGTAAGCATGTATTTAGGGACTAGTGAGACAATTTTAGGTAAAAGGTCCATTGTAAGATAAAAGTATCACGTGAAACTGCAGAAATGGGTTTGAGCCAATGGTCAGCAGTGATAGCTTAGTATGCATGATTGATTTAGCCTAATGTAACATATGTGAGACTTTGTATTTAGTTTGGGAGAAATAGTTTTTAATCCTTTCCCCTGTCCACCATAGGATAACACTGAGTGAGATACTATTTAATCCAACTATATTATATAAAATAAATAAAGACTTTGTATAAGGGACAAAAATAAATGTGATCTTACCTTAAAAAATAGTCTAATATTAGGCATAATATTGGTCCTCATTGCCTGATGTTGTCCCCTTCATGATGGTCCTGTTACACTTAACACAGATGCAGGTGAGCCAGAGGAAACTCCAGCCAAAAGCTCCTCGAGGTAACAGGTTCAAAGATCAGCAGCTCATAGTAGAAAGGCACAATGCTGACAAAAGACAACACTGTGAGACACCTCCCACATTAGTCAAAGTGGGAAGATGTAATAAACCATTAACAGGAATGTGGTCTTAAATGAACTTAGCTGAAGGTAAGCCTATATTAGGCATACATAGAAATTAAGAGGACAGAATATATATGTGCTGGGGCTTTTTTACCTGACAAAAGGAAAATCTTTTTA